TCTCTCTCTCTCTCTCTCTCTCTCTCTCTCTCTCTCTCTCTCTCTCTCTCTCTCTCTCTCTCTCTCTCTCTGCTTGCAGTGCAGAGAGATCTACCTTCATACCATGTGACAGGTAAGAGCTGCATTCGCTGCATCTGACCATTAATTCGTCACAAGTCGACTTGTTCTGTACATCATCCATCAAGTAGACATCTCTACAACAACAAACGTGGGTGCGGAGACACGCCCCTTCTCTACAGTCTGTCCTCTGCAGCCCTTCTTTCTATCACATAAACATAAAGCCCTCGATGAACCTGGTTCGTACCGACGGTTCTGTCAAAACTGCAGTAGGTTCCAACTGCAGTTAGCGCATACTCACACTAGGAACGTTTTGACTGCCTTCTGGACTTCAAATTCCGATCAAATACATCCAGATTAGGCTGTAATTCCGGCTAGATGCAGCCAGCAATGTACCAGCGTGTCCCCCCCACCACTGCCGTTAGTCCCCACCACTGCCACAGCTTACAAGGTAACAACAATACTCACGCTAGGAACGTTTGGACTGCCTTCTGGACGTAATTGCGATCACATACATCCAAATTAGGCTGTAATTCCGTCTAGATGCAGCCACCACTGCCACAGCCTAAACGGTAACAACAAACCCTAGCGTCATCCTTTTGCCGTTACAATTCCACTCTCAATTAAAAACATTTAAAAACTAAGGGTCTCGCTGAACTACACAATATTCGAAATGCATGTCGGTCGGGACTCGCCTGAAATGCGAGCCAGATACATTTGAACTTGTCCAACAATCTGAATGTACAGGGATCACCAACAGGTCCAGATACATACATAGTGGTGTGTAGTGGAGTGAGACCCCTAAGGATCGAACTTGAGCAATAGACCTATAGGGCTGCTTTACCGAGGCACAGAAACCAGACTAGTCCTTCACTAAAGGCTTCGCAATCTACGGACGACTGAAGGGGCCATACAAGAAAAGCCGCATGCTTGCTTGGTCAGGCGCACAGAGGGCAATAGGGAGGGCTCATCGCCCTCTTTAGCTTCCAAATGAATACGGAAGCACCCCCTTTTCTAGATATTAAATAAAGGTCCAGGCACCCCTCCCCTGCCAACAACTAGAGGGGAGCACAGGAGTACAGGACAGTAGGGAGGGCTCATCGCCCTCTTCAGAAGGTCCAAGCATACCACGCCTCCACTGATGCAAGAACCCCCTTTTAGCTATTAAATGAAGGTCCAAGCACCCCCTTTTAGCTATTAAATGAAGGTCCAAGCACCCCTTCCCTGCCAACGACTAAATGGGGCACAGAAGAAAAGCGGCATGCTGGCTTGGTCAGGCGCACAGACGGCCATAAGGAGGGCTCATCCCCGTCTTCAGCTTCCAAAATGAAGGTCCAAGCGTACCATGCCTCCACCTACGCAAGCACCCCCTTTAAGCTATTAAATGAAGCTGTTCCAAGCACCCCTCCGCCCCCATCTCCACTGCTGCAAGCACCCCCTTTTAGCTTTCAAATGGAAGTCCAAGCACCCCTTCCCCCCCCAAGCCTCCGCCGACAACCCTCCTTTTCCTGAATTCGACAACACACTGAACGAAAAACACGTACACCCCTCTTCTCCAAGGCACCGATGATTACGCTAACACCTGCTCTTCCCTCTCTGGTGAACCATATACCCCAACTCCGCGGCGACATCGGCGGCCGCCAATCTCCAATGCATAAACACGATGTACTACCGAGTACATCATGTTGATTGATTAATGAAACCCACCCTCGTCCAATCCAAAGACTACTACTCTCCTGTCGGTCCTCCTCCCTCGGACCCACATTTTGCAAAATATATATAGCCAGTCGCAGACGATGGCCTGCCTTAATCTGTGTACATCTTCCAAATGTGTGTACATCTTCCAACCAACCCTGGTCCAACCCTGGTCCAACCAACCTGGTCCAACCCTGGTCCAACCCTGGTCCAACCCTGGTCCAACCAACCACCACAGCTTCGCTCTGATATGCTTGAAGTCCTCTGTTTGCAGCAGGTTCAAACCAGGGAGCATTCGCAGTGCAGTCGGCAGAGTGGAAACCACAGACGGCTTCGCACACAGGCAGACGCCAACCCAGAGAGTTAAAGGTGCAGCCTGCCAAACCCGAGCACAGCCAGTCACCTCTGTTTGCAGCAGGTACGAGCAAGGGAGCCTTCAAGGTGTATCCAACCAAACCCGACTCGAAGTCTTTTTCACATGGGTGTATGCCCAGGCAGTAACCAACCGGAAGTCACGGGGAGGGGGGGGGGGGGGGGGGGGGGGGGGGGGGGGGGGGGGGGGGGGGGGGGGGGGGGGGGGGGGGGGGGGGGGGGGGGCCGGGGGTGAGGTGTTCATCATCCCACAAGAATCTGTGCATTAGCCTCGATTCCTTTCGCACCTCACTGCGATGATGTTCAGAAGAGCCCCAGCGATCCATGGGGGTGACGCACGCAAGGTGGGAACATCAACGTCAAGTCATCCCCCCTCCCCCCCTCTCTCCTCCTCCCCCAACCCCAACATTTCTCTCTCCCCTCTCTACCCGCAACCCCATAAACCCTGTCCCGACCCAGTTTACGTCTGAAGGTCAGCTACGTTCCATCAAGGCAGGGGTTCAAAAGCGGTAGGGTCTCCTTCAGTCCGTATGTTCGACTCCCAGTCCCCCGTTTGGCACAACGACAGTTTGGCACAACGACAGATGGCCCCGCACATCTTGCAGCCCATTCAAAAACGGTGCCAAACGGTGGCAAACGGTGCCAAACGGTGCCAGATGGTACTTCTTCTGTTCGTCTGTTACAATCGGATCCCGTTTGGCACAGTACCACATGGTCCCATCTCAGTTCCAGCACCAAATGCAACCCCCCTGGTCGTCTAGGCTTCTCCCAATAAATTAGCTACCTTCTTCCCCCCCCCCCCCCAAATACAACGTACGGTCAATATAGCTGAATTTGGCCTATCTTTCAGTCTATATGCAGCTATAATGACCGTACGTTGTATTCGGGGAAGAAGAGCTGGCTGGCTAGCTGATACCTCCAATCACTTGCTAGCGAGCTCCACAGTCAATTTGGCCCCGCCTACTTGTAGTTCCCCAGCTTCACTGTTCAGCATTTAGGCTGAAGTTCTTCGAGGGTCACTCGTTTTTCTCCTTGGGGTCTTCGGGTCCGTTCTCCTCGTGGCCATTCTCTTCGATTGATGGGTGTCTGGCCGTCGAGTGCCTTCCAGGGGTGGGCCTAGCAGGGGTGCGCCTCGGCGGTGTGTGCCTTGGAAGATTTCCCGGTGGCGTACGCCTTTGTCCAGTTGTATAGGGCGGGTGTTGCGCTGATGGGTCGTTCGTCGACTCATCCTCCTTCGCATGAGGGTTCGGAGAAAGATGCGCAGGTGGGGGGAAGGGGATGCCCGCCGAGCCGCCGTCCCCATGTCCTCCTGCTGCTGCTGCTGCTCCCGGATATTCTTGCACATGAGCTTGCGACTCTGTCACATTCAGGACGTGTTCCTCCGTTATCGTCCCTCCGAGGGGATCGTCGTGACCGTGGCCATGGTGAGGTCTTGGGAACCCATCGTGGTTGCCGGTATCATGAGAGTATGGGAGGAGATTCTGAGGGTGGTCGTTTATGTCGTGGTTATGTATTGGTACCGGCATTGGATGATGCTGATGCTCAACACCGGGAACGGGACCGGGGCCGGGAAGCGGTTGCTGATCCTCGGGCATCTGAGGTGGGTAGTGAGGGCCTGAGTGTTGGATAATACCCGAGGGGCCCACCATAGCAGCGGCCTGTACGAGACTCTCATGCCGATCGTGCTGCAGACCTGCAGGCTGAATGATATGCTGAACAACAGGCTGAGCAATGGGGTGGACGATAGCCGGGCGGTGATTGCGATGCAACCCTCCTATCTCTTCATCGTCATCATTCCCAGTATGGAACTCGTGAGAAAAAGGATCTTGAGAGTCTGGCAAATTGACAGTCGGCATCCCGTGTCCTCCCGGGAGGACACCGCCTACCTCCTGACCGCCCTGGGTCAGAGTGTTCATCACATGACCTCCGGGGCCAACTCCCATCTCGTGACTCCCCTGTGGCATAGTGCCCATTGGGTGACCTGGGAGCTGCAATGGCTGTTGCTGACCCATGCCACCGTAAGGAGGCAACACCTGTTCTTGCCAGAAAAAGCTCGCACCCCTCGCCGAGAGGGGCAGACGGTCGGCCTGCATCACACACACATTCACCGCTCTTTAGCTCCAACGCAAGATTTCTGAATTGAACAGTGGACACAGAGAGAGCAAAGAAGAGGAGAGCGGCTGCATGTAGACAGAGAGAGAGAGAGAGAGATAGATAGATAGATAGATAGATAGATAGATAGATAGATAGATAGATAGATAGATAGAGAGAGAGAGAGAGAGAGAGAGAGAGAGAGAGAGAGAGAGAGAGAGCTTTTGTGCACTTGTTTGCGTGTGAGAGAGAGCTTTCG